GATTCAGCCGCTGTTGAAACTGATCAGTTTCAGCAGCGGCTGAATCTGGACGCCAGTTCCAACTTACATACAGATTCAACTTAAGAACAAACCTACAGTCCCTATCTTGTACGTAACCCGGGGACTGCCTGTATTGAGTGAACTGAAACACAGCTCACAAAATATTTGGATCTGTAGACAAGCAAGAGTCTTAATAGGGGGATTCAGCCGCTGTTGAAACTGATCAGTTTCAGCAGCGGCTGAATCTGGACGCCAGTTCCAACTTACATACAGATTCAACTTAAGAACAAACCTACAGTCCCTATCTTGTACGTAACCCGGGGACTGCCTGTATTGAGTGAACTGAAACACAGCTCACAAAATATTTGGATCTGTAGACAAGCAAGAGTCTTAATAGGGGACAAGCTTGTTGTTTCAGTGTAAGAATTGGACTGATCTCGTGCTGTATGGTTCAGAACATTTAAATGATTTTCAGTTTCTACTCTTGAGAAGGACATTATCATTTTTGTCATTTTTAAATTGGACGGCATTTGTGAAATAACTAAGGCCTCTTAGGCAGTGCTTATCAATATTAGAAAAACAAAATAGTTACATATGTGGTAACAATTTGGTTACATTTTTTAAAAATTGTGTTGTATAATATGGTTTGTTTTATCTTGAAAAACATTGAGACAATCATATAAATGTTGATGAAGATTTTCAAAAATGGGGTCTGAAAGGTAGGACATATGTTTTCTGAAACCCAGTCCCCTTTAATATGTCTTTAGCTAACTGTCCAAAATAACCCCCAAATTACTAGTCATTTTTGAAAATGTAAGAGCCTATGTATGCATTGAAGAATCTAAAAGATTTAGCCTGATTTCTAAAAGAGCAGAGCACCTAGATTCAGTAGGAACTACTGGTTATTCAGCACCTTTGAAAATCAAACCACTTATTTAAATGTCTAAATATACACTTGAGAACCTACCTTCAGGCATCGCTATTTGTAAATCTTGGCAGCAGTTCTTGCTTACCCAATGCTTTATTCAGGCTGAATTCCTAGTGAAAGCATAATGTACCTCACTGTTTTCACTAAATAAAATGTCCATGTATATAGCCACAAAATATATTTTGTTATAGTGACTCAATAACTATTAAAGACGAGTTACAATAACCAAGTTTGCTCCCTTCTTTGAGAACTCTACAAAAGCATGTAATATTTTCTGAGTAGCTTGATTTTACTTTAGTATAAAATAACTGCTGCCTCTTCTACTGATCCTCTACTATATATTTTAATTTATATCTTTGCATTTTGTAACAATAAGCCTGTTTCTTGCATTGCAACATGTATGTCAAAAATTTAAAGTTCTTTATGTGTTTTCTTACACTTCATCCAAAATTATCTGAACATTTGGAAACTGGTTCATGCATGAGGCATTACCTCTGATTTTCTTTGTTCTTGAACAGTATTTTCATACTATATATAAAATGAAATTGTGCAGGCTCTCATTTTCCACTTATCAAATGTCATATTAGATGTGAATTGAGCTGCCTAATATTTATGGACAGTCTCTATATGTGACCAACTACTTTTCAAGTCTGAACGTAGTGCAAGAAACTTCTTTTTTTCTGTTTTCCCACCACACATATTATGTTACAAGTGGTGGTTAGAATTAAACAAGAATTAAACAGGAAGATCACACATGCAGTAGTCATTACTATGTTTACATATATACCATTGCAAACTCTACAACAGTGCTACAGAAAAAATAGGTTCCTTTAAAATGTCAAATGTATGTCTTTTCTAGGCAGCTGTTCCAATGAAAACTATTTTAACCAAATTCACAAATGTAAGCTATATATCATACGTGAATGAAACAAGGAGGGTGAAGGGATGGTTTCCCATGTGGGTAGCCAGCTGATTTTAAATATATGTATATGTTTGTTTCAGCAGATATTGCAACATTACCAGGAGATAAGAGGCTGACTAGAATCTCCAGCCACATAAAGCTTAATTGGGCAGTAGTCTGACTGTGGATTTGTTGTTTGCGTTCAGATATTTGACTGAAATTAAAAAGATTAATATAGCATTACTGCAGCATGATGCAGTTCTACTCAGAAGTGATGTGCTGCATCTTAAATTGATTCAGAATATATATTTTTAATGGTTGGTGAAAATGGCCAAACCACACTATTGTTAGCTATCTGCAAGTATAAGCTATATAAATATACCCATTCCCTCATCATGTTCATAAATATAATGCCCTGCCAGAATGAAATCTCTTCTGAGAAATCCAACAAGAAACTATTCAGGATGTCTGTAATCACCGGCACTTGCATGCATGACATACCATGAGCCTGTCACACCCACTGCCAACTCTTTTTTCTTTTCTTTTTTTTTTTTTGTGAACAGTCCTGCTGTTCAAATTGTAGAGTAGAATTCTTGTCATTGTTAATCCCTTGTCTGCTCAAGACACCAAAGCAGGCAGAGAAGATGGATGGTATTATTTGTATCCTCATGTCTTATATGCCTAGGTAGCCACAAATGAAACTCCTTTGTCATTTGACTTTTATCTTCTAACATTAAATCCTTAAATGCACGTATATGATACAATAGCACATCTCCTCTTTATCTGTATATAGATCTAAGAACATATACAGCGATATATTTATTTGTAAATACAGACCCGTATATAGAAAGCAAATTTTCTTAGGTACAGCCCTTTGGGATGTTTTGAAGTCTAAAAAGAGGAAGGGATTATGTAAAAAGTACCATGTGTAATAGAAAGTTGGCTTAATAGCTTGTAATAACAGTAGAATGCAGTGCAGCAGAATATTAGTCAACAAAATTTGTATCTGTGTGTTGTACAGCATGTTCTTGGTGGCTAGATGGTAATATCCCTTCAAATAAGAATGAAAAACAGATGCTGTGAACAATTAAAGAATTTAGTAACTGGAGCCGTGCAGCTAAATCACTCAGTTTTGAATATATACCCAAAGTTAACAAGCCATTTTGTGTTAGTATGGCACAATGAAAGTTTTATTTTTCCTAATATCAATTTATTTTTCACCCACATAAATTGTGAATCTGTTAAAAAATAAAAACACATTTGTCAACTACTTCTGTAGCCCAAATGCATACGAGCTAGAGTGTTTTACTGTATGTACAAGTTAAATATTTCCATCTGAATGTGCACCTTACCCAAATAGATACTAAGGCTATGTCTAGATTGCAGGCCTCTTTCGAAAGAGAGCGTCTAGACTGCACGCGGAATTTTCGAAAAAGCAAGCCGCTTTTTCGAAAGAAAGCAGCAAGTGAGTCTGGATGCTCTCTTTCTAAAAAGCCCTGTTTGCTTTCAAGAACGCCTTTTTTCGAAAGAGCACTTTTGAAAAAAGGCGTTCTTCCTCGTGAAATGAGGTTTACCGCCGTCGAAAGAAAAGCCACGTTCTTTCAATTTAATTTCGAAAGAACGCGGCTGCAGTCTAGACGCAGGTGAAGTTTTTTCGAAAAAAGGCTACTTTTTTCGAAAAAACCCCTGAGTCTGGACACAGCCTAAGTGGGAAACCACAACTTGAAGTAATGCTGAAGTCTTCAATTTGAAGATCATCCATAGCCTATTTAATAGAAAAGTATGCCAAATCCTAAACACAGCCTCGCAAAGTCTGTTCCACTAGATATGGATTCTCACATGCAGATTGTATTTGAGTCATGAATATAATAGGAAGCTAACTTTCTAGACAAAGAAAACAGACTTTTTCTATATGTATATACCCATAGGATAGGGCTAGCAAAGATAAAAGAAATAGGGTAAAGCATTTCTTCCATAACTGCAACCAAAAAAAAAAGTCTAAAAGCTTTCTTAGATTATTAGCATGCCTTAAACAGCCCTGTGTTATCAGTATTCAACTAAATAGCTTCTGTGTCTGAACATGCTTTAGCAATTATAAGTTCAAATTCTTATTATTAATACTGATCATTATCAGGATATGGACTCTGCTTTTCTTCTTAGGCTATTTTCATTTGTTTCTTCTGCACCCTTTTCATGGAATATATAGGTCTCTTGAAAGGTAAGGTTGAAAATTGCAAACCTAGCCTGCATAATGTAACAAATTATTTGAAATGCAGCACCTTTTTTCTTTTTTTACAAGCGAAAAGAATATATTTCATTTAACCAAATTCATTCTTCATTCATATTCAAGGAAACAAAGAATTAAGAAGTTTAACAGACTAACTTCATGGCACAGCATAAGCTTTTTCTTTGAAGAACAAAGAACTTGCTTTTATAACGTTAACAATCCCTGATTTAATGCTTGCAATTCTTTTGCTTCCAAATCAAGAGCAGAATATCTTACCATTGAAAAACCATGCACGATGGAAAAAATGCACTTGCTCTACTGAAGACATTATATGTTTAAACCATCTCTACACCATGTATTCATCATATCAGTTTGTTTCTACAATGAGATTGGGTTAACCAAAGGATTGTAGGTCTGGTCACATGCTTTTTAAAAGTCTGCATGCATGGTTTGTTTTGGTTTTGCTTTTGTAAATTATGGTATCTCTATTAATCAGTTGAATTTCCTATATTTTTCCAGTGATGCAGAGGATCATAAACCTCTAAAGAAAGGAAGCCGAACACCTTCAGACAGGACTGTGAAAAAGGAGGACAGTGATGATAGTTTAGTTGACTATGGAGAAGGTGTAAATGGTCAGTTTAATGAGGATGGCTCCTTTATTGGACAATACAGTGGTAAAAAAGAGAAAGAACCTGCAGAAGGAAATGAAAGTTCTGAGGCTCCTTCTCCTGTCAATGCCATGAATTCCTTTGTTTAATCAAGAAACTCGATTCCCTTCCTTCAATATTTTCCATTGTGTTTAAAGCACTTGTGCATAATCTTCATACTAAGAACATGCAGGTGACAAAGCTCCTACGGACAAGATGTTTATACTATGAGAACATATAGGTCAATACAGTTATACACTATAACAACACAAGTAAGTGATATGTTAGTATGAATCAAAGTGCAAAACTCAAAAAATTTTGCTCAGAACTTGAGTATTTTTGCTTTTTAAAAAAAGGAACTGACAAAAACAACATAACAGCATCTGATAATGTTATTTCCTGTCAAAAATACTGTATAATGCATGAAAAATGCTACACATTTCACAGATAAACCTGTGTATGCTATTAAAATCTGGTTTGATATTTTGTTATGCAGTCCTCAGATAAATCCCTGGATATGAATTCCATTTTCATTGTCAGAGTGATATAGTAGTATTATATAGAACTTCAATGTCTTTGTGGACATTGTTGTGAAATTGGTGACTTTAATGTCTAGCTATCATATGTCTTTTTGCAAGACAACTAGGAACAGTATGTATGGTATATAATTGCTAAATGATTTAATTATGACACTTGCATTTGCTGATGCTTACTGAGACCCTGTTATCTGCTCTTTATTCCTATTACTTTCTAGCCTTCCTAATCTATCAAGTATTACAGCACTACAGTGTTCTATTTTTACATCGTATATATGTTGGATTGATTTTTAAACATAAAACATAATGCATTGCAATGCATTTGGAATTTGTACAGTCACTGAAGTGAAATTTTAAAATGAGAGAAAATATTCCAGAAAACACAGGGCGAAATACATTCAGTGCCTTTATAGAATATGCATTCCATAATGCACTGCACTACTAAGTCAGTTGGTGCAGTAAGCTGTGATTAGCGAACTAGTATTATTGCCAAACAAAATAACTCAGTAAAAAGCAGAGATGTTATGAAACTGTTGTGCTGCAAAATGCAAGGGTTAACATTTTTTAAAATTACACAAAGCACAATTTGATTTTCTTCCTTGAAGATAAAATAACAGCTTTTAGACAATTAGAGCACAACATGATTTCACAGCCTTGCACAGTTTATACAAAAATGGCTGCATTCAGATATTTTACTAATACTGCAAAACCTAAAAATCTCTTGTAAAATATGTTTAAAAATGCCATGCCAGCAACAGCACATTCTCCTTTGAGTCATTGCTTGACCCATGCGGCAGCTTCTGAAATTATCTACAGCATGAAAGCAAAGTATAGATTACTACTCAGAACCACAAAATTCAAGCTAGCTGACAAATGCCAGCAACGTTTAGTGACAAAAAATTACTGTTATCAGTTGCAAAAATATTATCTCACATACTATATCAATCAAACGGTTTACTTCCAAATATGAAATTTTATAACAACCTATGGTTGAAGGAATGCTCAGTTTCATTTGCCAATAAATTGGTTTTTCATAACTTGCATCAAGTTTAATTTTAAGTATGCTTTTTATATGTAGATATGTGTTGAATTTGTAAATACACTTAAAGTGTAGATGCTATATGCTTCTAGTTGTTCCAAACAAATAAAACAAAAAAGCCTATGTTGTACTGTGTAAGAAGTACTATAGCCAATGAAGTGCATGGTATTTTAAAGCATCTACTTAAACATATATTTTGCTGTGAAAACGAAATAGTGAATTGTTATACTTACTGCAGATTTCTAGATATCTTAAGAGCTTGTGTCCGTGGATTACATTAGACCATAGTACACTTTCAAGCTTTTATGGATGTGTTGTAGTAAAGTACAATTTGAACTAATCACAAATGGAAGTCAACCATATAAGCTTCTTTTGCACCATTAAGCTTTCCGTAATCCATTTTCCTCATGGAAACAAAAATAAAAAAAGCACAAAGAGAGTTTCTTAATAAGATTTCCCAATGATATTGGTAACAATAAAGTGAAATTTTATTCTTCTTTAATTGTAGATGCTGAATTTATCTGTGCATGTAAGGGTACACATACAGGCTCACTTCTGTAATAGTGCAACAGATTTTGTATTAAAATAAATGTGGTTTTAAAATGTCATTGTGTGTTCTGTTCAAAAAATATTTAAATGTCGATCCAATTTACCACATTTAAGAACTTTTAAAGTGGAAAAAATCACTAATGAACTACAACCAGGTTATTTTCAGAATGTTGCAGTGCGTCATTTTTTCATATCAGTTAAAAAATATTAATTATCAGTCTGATCCCCACTGAAATCAAGTCCTGTTCAAGTTCCTTTACTGTTTTGTTCCCTAAATATGTTGTTTGATCAAAACTGAGGGCCTGCTTCAAAAGACAAAATTACTTCCCCACATCTACCCACAAAAAGAGACCTTCCATATTCATTTGAGACACTCCTCAATCAGATTTAAGTTCCTAAATCAATTACCTGATTCTCAAAACTGCTGAACATCCAGCTGCTCTCATTGACTGTTGAAATCTAGGAAGTTTTAAGTGCAGGCTGAAACCTCCAAATCCAGGACTCTCTGGTCCAGCAACATCCATCATCCAGCAGAACCATGGATGTTGCTGGACCAAAGAGACCCAGAGGCAGGAGTGGGAGCCAGTTGAGTGAACATGGAGGCTGGAGAGCCCCCTGTCCTGTCCAGGAAACCCCCAGTGGCAGTAGGGCCAGGGTAGTCAGGCGGCCGTAGCAGGGGAACCTGAGGGAACCTCCTACATCAGCGGGGCAAGCAGCAGCCAGGCAGTATGAACCGGGAAGCTGGCTGCATCATGTGGGCAGCAGGGTGGGGAGCTCCTGCCAGGCCAGCATTAGTAGGGCCAACTGCAGGGCAGGGAGCCATAGGGAAAGGAGCCTAGGAGCCGGGCAGACAGCAAGGGAGCATTGCCTTCCACTGGTCCAGTAAACTCCCTAGTTCAGGACAGCTCAGGTTCTGAGGGTGCCAAAACAGGGAGGTCCAACCTATAGAATACGTTACAGTAGCCAAGATCCATTGCAATGAACACTTCTTGCCTAGTCTGGCCTAGGTGTGAAGAGAAACAGATTGGACAGGTGCTGCCTATGAGCTGTTGTGGAGGAAGTAGATTAAGATGTGGATTTCATAGGAGACAGGAAGTGAATTCCATTCTATAATTCTTGGGCAGGGTTATCTGAAAAAACAATTCTGCTGTTAAGCCATACGTCTCTTTACCAGCTCTCTCAACCAGGAATGTAGTTTGAATACCTGTGGATATTCTAGTGTCCTGTGCACATATGTGCACAGTCACAATTCTGACATACACAGGTCAGAACTGAATTGTACTCTTTTTTTCTGTAAAGAGGCCTGTTCTTTTCTGAAGCAGTGTTCACTCAGGATACATGCAGGGGAGAATTTAGGTGCCAGCAAGATAGCTGTTTCTGCTTTGATGTAAGTGTGATTCCTGGAAAGTGCTATGAGTCTTTGAATTGTGGTAGAACAAGAAATCTCTTTTTATGTTTTTGGTTTTTGTTTTTTTCCTGGATGCTTGCAGAAATCTGTATTAAAACATAAAGAAATTTTTAGTATACAGTATTACCAATTCTTTTTGCTATATTTTTATTGAAATGGTGATAATTAGGGAGATAATTGAGAAAAATTACCACTAGGTAATTCCTTTTGTTGTAGTCTTCTCTTCTGCTGCTCACAACAGGAAGAAACTTTCAGAACAGATTCTTTTTTGGCACTACCTACTAGAGAAAAATGGCAAAATATCTATCTAAGCTTCAATATAAGCATTTTGCCTGTCTCAGTCTTTCCCAACAGAGAATTCCAGAGCTAAAGAAAGAAAGTAGTACAAGACATCCTGGACTACTGTAAAAGAGATGAAAGCATATTACCCCAGAGAGGAGAATAGATTATGTATAAAGGTTAGTAGAAGAGTGATTTCAGGAATTTCTGGTGAGTAAATTTCCCTGTTTGTAGATCTCTCTCTTCTGCCCCAGGAAAAAACAGTTCAGGTAAATGGCAGGTGCAGTGAGTAGTATTGCTGGGGAGGGCTTATCCAAGTGTACTGCTCATAGGAGTAAACACTGGAGTGGTAATACTTTATGAATGTGGAGATGAACATGTGCTGGATGCCTTTCATATCAATGAAATAGAAGCCTTAGGCTATGGTGCCCAGAAGGTGAAAAGCCAAGAGGCTTTTGACAAACTCTAGGCACGATCCACCATGACTATGAAACAATACACACTTTGATCCATCTGATTTGGCTGCTTTAGTTTCCATTTTGTCCTTATGGCAACAGAAACACGGTTTTTTTAACTTACTCAAACTCATTCAAACGTGATAAATAGAACATCAGAAAATGCTTAATAGGTAAAGAATGGAGTTGTGTGTCTCACGACTACATTCAGTTTGAGCAGTAACAATGGGTTCCTTGTTACAAAATCCAGAGTTTCCCTTGAAAATTAGTTTTAGGGATAAATGGAATGCTGCCTTGTCTGAAAGGAAAAAAAAAAGCTTAAGAGATATGACACTAAAGAGCCAGCTCAGTTTCCCGTGCTGTCTAGCAACTAAGATGATGACCTTATAGGAGAATCTCCCCAGAAGAGGAAGAAGAGGCCACATGAGGACATACAGTACCAAAGAAAATTCCTAGGATAGGTTACTTGTCTGTAAACAGATATTTGCAGTAGAAAAACGTTGAGGCAGTCTTACAGCATTTCTAATGGCAGGGGGGTCTTCTGGTAGCAGACAGTGCCCAGGCAGAGAGTCTTCCTTTGTCTTCTGTGAAACTCTGGAGGGATAAAGTTGAGGCTGATTTATAAGGAACAGGGTTTGTATTTCTCTACATGCTTTATTTGAAAACACTTTCCAAACATGAGAGACTTGCCAGTAGAGGGCAACCTTCTGCTCACTAGAAACTCCACGATCACAAGGGGCACTCTCTTTCCTAAGAACTAGTTTCACTTAATTATTGTCTCTCAACTGATGCGATCAGACAGCGAGAAGAGAACTGTGCCTTCCAATAAAAGATCTCCTTTTGTGCTTTGTATATATATATTAAAAGGCGGAAGGAATATCCCCACTTCTGGCTCCCCATGACACATAAGTATATATGTGCTCTGGGCTTCTAGCTTGAGCATTTGGGAGTAGAATCAGGGACATTTAGAGAAACTAATGCTGGTGTCTCCATTCTGCACCTGATCTATGAAAAAATTCTGGCACAGACTCCATTACTCAGAAGTGTGCTCACTACAGCTGAACCAGTCTTTGATACTACTGCTCTTGCTCTGTGAATAGAAGTCTTCCACAGAAAAAAGGTTAAGAATTTGCCCAAGATCCTTAACCAGGAATAGTTTGCACTTTGTTTTCTGCATCTTATCCTGTAGAAGTTCTTTCCTTGCATTGCATCAAATTATATCTGTGATAAATGAAAGATTTCCTGGTTTTGAGGATTAAGGAGGTGGCCTAGAGGTCTAGAAATTTGATATTCAGACTGTGTTTGGCATCCAAGCCTGAAAGACTGGCATCTTTGATAAATCGAAAGACGTTTGGAGAAACTTTGGCAAACTGGAACCATCAGAAGAAAGAAAACTAAAATTGCTGAGGAAGATACAGGGATTCTGCAAGTCACTAGGATAGATGCCTGCAAGTCACCGGGCCTGATGAAATGCATCCTGGAATACTCAAGGAGCTGATAGTGGGGGTATCTGAGCCTCTAGCTATCATCTTTGGAAAATCATGGAAGATAGGAGAGATTCCAGAAGACTGGAAAAGGGCAAATATCGTGCCCATTTATAAAAAGGGAAATAAGAACAACCCAGGAAACTACAGACCAGTTATTTTAACTTCTGTGCCAGGGAAGATAATAGAGCAAGTAATTAAGGAAATCATCTGTAAACACTTGAAAGGTGGCAAGGTGATAGAGAACAGCCAGCATGGATCTGTAAAGAATAAATCACATCAAACCAATATGATAGCTTTCTTTGATAGGATAACGAGTCTTGTGGATAACGGAGAAGCGGTGGACGTGGCATACCTAGACTTTAGTAAGGCATTTGATACGTTCTTGCATGATATTCTTATCAATAAACTAGGCAAATACAACTTAGATGGGGCTGCTATAAGGTGGTTGCATAACTAGCTGGATAACCGTACTCTGAGAGTAGTTATTAATGGTTCACAGTCCTGCTGGAAAGGTATAACAAGTGGGGTTCCACAGAGGTCTGTTTTGGGACCGGCTCTCTTCAATATCTTCATCAACGATTTAGATATCGGCATAGAAAGTATGCTTATTAAGCTCGCAGATGATACCAAACTGGGAGGGGTTGTGACTGCTCTGGAGGATAGGGTCATAATTCAAAATGATCTGGACAAATTGGAGAAATGGTCTGAGGTAAACAGGATGAAGTTTAATAAAGACAAATGCAAAGTACTCAACTTAGGAAAGAACAATCAGTTTCACACATACAGAATGGGAAGCGACTGTCTAGGAAGGAGAATGGCAGAAAGGGATCTAGGGGTTATAGTGGACCACAAGCTGAATATGAGTCAGCAGTGTGATGCTGTTGCAAAAAAAGCAAACATGAGTCTGGGATGCATTAACAGGTGTATTGTGAGCAAGACACAAGAAGTCATTCTTCCGCTCTACTCTGCGCTGGTTAGACCTCAGTTGGAGTATTGTGTCCAGTTCTGGGCACCGCATTTCAAGAAAGATGTGGAGAAATTGGAGAGGGTCCAGAGAAGAGCAACAAGAATGATTAAAGGTCAAGAGAACATGACCTATGAAGGAAGGCTGAAAGAATTGGGTTTGTTTAGTTTAGAAAAGAGAAGAATGGGGGGGACATGATAGCCGTTTTCAGGTATCTAAAAGGGTGTCATAAGGAGGAGGGAGAAAACTTATTTATCTTGGCCTCTGAGGATAGAAGAAGAAGCAATGGGCTTAAACTGTAGCAAGGGAGGTTTAGGTTGGACATTAGGAAAAAGTTCCTAACTGTCAGGGTAGTTAAACACTGGAATAAATTGCCCAGGATGGTTGTGGAATCTCCATCTCTGGAAATATTTAAGAGTAGGTTAGATAAATGTCTATCAGGGATGGTCTAGACAGTATTTGGT